TGCTTAGTTTGGTTCTGATACTTGCCTTATCTCTTCCAAGTACGGGTATTTATCTTTTCTTTTTTTCTTTTTCTTTTTGCCTTTGTGTGTGCCTTGACACACTCTTGACAGTGAACGTGATGTACTAGATGAAAGCGGCAGCTGAAAACAGAGCTTTGTGAGCGTGGTGGTAAGCCACCGAAGGCGGGGAAGTGGTCTATCATCCAGTGTGAGGGCTCAGTCCTCAGTGAGTCCATGCCCCTGAAATGAACTTCACCAGTATTTCTAAGTTTCCCCCCTGCCTCATTTAGGGCTCAGGATGGCTGAATGGAGTGGAGTTGGGTATCTCCCTTCTCCCTGATCAGTTCAGCTCTGACAACAACCCCCAACAGTTAGGCTGTGGCTAACTACTTTTTCCTGAGGGCAGGCTGAGGTCAGAAGAACAAGTGTTCTGGTATATTGAAAAACAGTTCTTTTTTCCTCCTCACCCTGCTGGGAGAATGAGCAAATTTTTTTTTTGACAATATTTACAGTGAAATCCTGCCAGGCTCCTGAAGGTAAAACTCACAAAAGCGTGCTCCCTCCACCTTCTGCTTTGACTAGGTACCCCACCCCCACCCCGGGAGTCTTTAACTCTCCCACTTGTCTGCACCAAGCCTTTAGCAATCCATCAATCACAGTTCAGTTTTGCTCCTCCTGGCACCAGGAGGCTTCTGTTCCTGTAGATTGTGATTCTCTCTCTCTCTCTGCCTGTCTCTCTAACTTGGGAGCAGTGGTTCTCCCTGTGGTTCTCCCTCACTTCTCTTATAAGAATCGTTGATTTTGATTTTTTGGTTTGTTCAGCTTTTTACTTAGCATGTAGTCATGACATCCAAGCTCCCACAAGTGGGCACTCCATCGTTGTGTTTTTTGGTATGCTTTCTGGCACCGCAGGATGTGTGCTGTATTCTCCCTGTCCCAGGACTCAGCCTTGTTTTTTTTCATGGAAGAATGATTACTAGAAACTAAGTTTGCACTCCTTGGTATGCTCTTTGCAATCAAGTATCGCTTCCAGGCCCTCTCAGCAGCGTTAGAAAATAAATCTACATATACAAACCTATATATATGCACATACCTGTAATTATTGCTCTATCTCTTTGTATATATAAATGAGTTCATGCTGATGTCTCTGATTCCAATACATAATACATGGTGGCCTTGCCCACTGTCTTATTTATAAATTCCTTCTCTGTGTACATTTATGTACACTTCTTTTTGTCCTTACCCTTATTTTCCAAACACAGCACAATTTTAAAAAGTTGCTTAGGTCATCATTTTACTCTGCTCTCTCAGTGAGCTCATGCTATATTATATATATGTATGTATATGTATAATTCATTCATCACAACTTTCTTCTCATCCTGGGACTGCCCCATATTCTGCTTGATATTTTTCAATTTTCATTCATTAAAGGCTACTCATTGTGATATACAGTTCTATGAATTTAGACAAATGTATGGAGTCATCTACCCACCAGCCAGTAGCATCCAAACAATTCCATCACTACAAAATTCCATGTGTCACCCTTGTTTTACTTTCTCCATACTCCCTCAACTCCAGCCAACCACTCATCTTTTTTGTACTCTTATAGTTTTACCTTTTCCAGAATGTCATATGAATGGAATTTTTTTACATGAATCATTTTCAGTGCTGTATAGTATTCAATGGTGTGGCTCTGCCATTGTTTTTTCTGTTTATGCATCTGCTCAATAGCATGGTGATTATTTCCAGGTTTTTGATGTTTATGAATAAAGTTTCTAGAAAACATTTTTATACAGATATTTTTGCTAAAGTAGGTTTTACATGTTCTTGGGTAAATGCTTAGGAACATGATTGCAGATCAGTGTTAAATGTATTTTTAATTTTATAAAATATACCAAGTTATTTTCCAAAAGAGCTGTACCAGTTTGCATACCTACCAGTGATGAATGAGTGTTCTTGTTGCTTCACATCCTCAGCAACATTTGCAATGGTCAGTTCCTTGGATTTAGCCATCCTAATAAATATTTTATAGGAAAGCAATTCATAATTTTTTTGCACAAAGTATACATTAAAAATAATTAATGCAGGGCCTCCCCGGTGGCACATTGGTTGAGCGCTGGGCTGAGAAGCTGCCTGCAGCCTCTGCAGTGCCGGTTTGATCCCCCACTGCCGGGCGAGGGTCCCACATGGCACGCAGGTCTCTCCTGCCGCCCACTGCTACCCTCAGCAGTGTACTTTGGTCCTTTTGCCTGTTCTGCTCCCTGCTCTGGCTCTGGTGAATTCTCTCACCCTCCTGCGCTTCTGACTGTACCCAGTGCTTGTATAAATAAATAAATCATTTTAAAAAATTAATGTAAGACATTAATTATGCTGTTAATTATGTTAAGAGACTGTCTTAAGAAAATGAAACATTTCCCCAGTAGATGCTATGATTAACTGAATTATTCCTTCTATTATCTTGAAGCATAGACCCTAGCACTGCAGAGGGTGTTTGATAAATGATACATTGTCTCCATCCTACCTTTTCTTAGGATTTTTGCATTCTCAAAAGGAAAGAGCTTCCAGGCAAAGGAAAGAAGCATTGACAGTGGTTGTTCAGTTATCAGTCATTTTATAGTCATTTATTGATGCACTTGGTCTATACCTATTCCAGGTGCATCTCAGAAGGGCCTCCAGTCTGTGGATGACATTCTATCAGGCAAATCCACAGTCCTTCCCTTTGTCTTCCACTTTTTAGAACTCTCTATTAGGAGACAACTGAGGAAGATTGGAAGGCAGTGGAAGGGGAGAAAGGGCTTTCTTGCTTGCCTGTGGTCCTGGTCATGTAGTGTTAGCAGAATAGGTTGTCTTGGCCATGGCAGTTGGTTCTAGCTTCCTTTTGGGCTCTGAGCTCCAAACTCACCATGAAATGTTTCTCTTCAGATAATGTTCAGGGTCCCATCTTTGCCACACTCCACTGAGGTCCCAAATTGCCATTAACAGCCAGCAGCAACGCATCCTGAAGTCTGAGCCCAAGGTCTGAGGGGCTCACCTCTGAGTGCTCCTTTCCTTGTGTCCTCAGCCATGAGGGGAAATCATGCTTCCTACATCACTCTCTCCAGATAACCTCAGTGCTCCACTTCTGCCCTGTTAGTCCTCTAATGCCCATATGAACGATTCCCTCTTTGGCGAAATTCTCGTTGGTGAAATATCTAAAATATTACATGTATTTTTTTCTAACTCATTCTGAGATTCTGATACTTAGGTTATTTCCTTGTTTCCATCAAAAACAATACAACAATAAACATTGTCTCTTGGTACACTCAGAGGAAGGCTTTTTATAACATGGGGTCAGAGGTAGGTTTTCTAGGTCACAGGTAGAAGCAGCTTCAATTCGACGAGACAAAAATCACTCCCTGTACTTAAGTGAAACACTTTTATTCTTCATTTTGCTCACCAATGTTTGCATTTTACCTCTTTCCTCAGGGTATTACAAATGGTCTAAGATCCAGAGAAGGGAGCTGGCCTTAGTTTCTATTAGATAAAAGCCTGGCAGAGGGTCTGAGATGCACCAAATTTGCCTAATACAGCAATAGCAGATCCCTGACTCTGCTTAAACTTGAGAGTTGGTAGCATCAGATCTCTGAAGGCAACGGCTTCAAAATGATTAAGTTTCTTTCTTGATGCAAATTTTTTCAGATACTCTTTATAGTAGTTACTGCCAAGATATCCTTTTTCCAACTCTGCGTGTTTCCTTGAGGTGTAGCAGCTTTGGGATTTTCCAAGCTAGAGGCACTGGAATCTTTGCAAGACTGGGTGCCCCTGAGTCAAAGATCCAGCCCTATCATGTGAGGGCCTGTTAACCCCCTGACCCGCAGGCTTCTGCCAGACAATCCACATCAATTCATATGGCACCCACCAATATTTTCGTCCTTTCCTGCTTCAGGGTCTCTCTGTCTACACACACACACCCACACACCCACACACCCACACACCCACACCTTAGATTTCCACAAAAGGTACAGAGAAGCTATCTCCAGCATGAGATATCTATCTCCCCATGGTTGAAGCCAGTGCAGGGGGAGGCTGGTCTTGAGCCGAAACTGTCTCAGGTTCCAAGACAGTGAACAGGAGTCCTGAAAATAGCTTGAGATACAACTTCCCATCAATCTTGGTGGCTGGAAGCTGACCAGATGAAATTGTATTCATTTATTCCTCTGGGAAAATGCTTGATGTTTTCTGCACCAAAGTGGTTTACACGGCCACCTCCAATAGCACTAGAGTATCATTAAATGGTTTATTCACAACAAATCTGTGAAATGAGCATTATCACTCCTAGGGGAGGAAACTGAGGCCTGGAAAGTTAAAATAACTTGCTTGAGTGGCAAGGTCTGTTCCCCCACCCCCCAAGCCCACAATCTTATTTATCACCCAAACTCCTTGGCATAAGCAGTGGAAAGATCTGGGAATCTACTTCCCCAGGCTGTCCCCAGTCTCCTCCTCACTCAAGACTTTCCAAAATGCCTGAACACACTCCCATCTTCCCATCCACCTTTACAGTTACCCCCTAGACAAATAATCAGAGAATTTAGCATCACTGCCTGGGGCATACTTCTTATATATTTGAATGCTCTCATTTATTTATTCTGACATGTTGTAGCTTTGGTTGCATTTTCTCACCTGCTTTTGGCCGTGCATGCACATCTTCTCATGTGGAGTGTGTGCCATCCCAGTCTTTGCAGGGAAACCAGACTCCTTGCCCTAGAGAAGGACCCCAGGACTGACTCTTCCCTTACGATAAAGTTGGAAGCAGGAGTCATTCAACTTTTTTTTTTAAATCCAGGTATTTATTTTTCCTGTGCAAATATGGATGTAGGCAAAATTAATGGTTAAGGCTTTTAAAACATGTGCATTTTAAAACTGCATTGCTAGTGTGTTTTGTTGATGATATGAGCTTGAAGCATACTTTCTTTTCATACACCCTTTAAATTCATTTTAAAAAGTTAAAATGGCCAAATGACCCATAATAAAAGCCAGAAAAGACCCATATAAATCCAAAATACATACACGAAAATGCAGCACCTTTTGTATAAACTACATTAGGGCCCAGTTACGTAGCATATGGATTATAACATCAGACCATAGACTTCAAAATTGCCAAAGCAAAGGGACGGGGGAGTAGGCATTTTGAGAAGAGAAGAAGAAAGGAGGAAGAGGGAAAGGAGGAGAAAAGGAAGGAAGATAGATTTCAATAGAGAGAGATTGAAGAGAAAAAAAGAAAAACCTATATATGGCTTCTTTGTATCAGAATAAGTCATGTTGGGTGACATATAACATGTATATATAAGTGAAGGACAGACCACTGAGCTCATAAATTGCAATCATAGAACACAACATGTAAATATCTTGTAAAATTGTAAAGGAATTAATTTCACTGGATCGAGAAAAAAAAAGCTAGATTCTGCTCTCTGAATAGGTAGCTAAGAGCTTTGTAATTGCACGGGAGGGTGACGCTTCCTCTTCAGGGGCAATGGGGCAGTTTGCAAAGATATGGCTAAAGGTCTCATCTTCTAGAGTCCTAGTTGTCAGCTTTGTTTGCTTAGGACCCCGTTCCAACCTCTAAGAGTCTCCCCTGAAAACATCGCCTCTCCTGCAGCTAAAATAAGCTGCCCCAGAGACCCACTCAAGGACAAGGGAAGTGGCTGTGTTTGAATACCTTGGTGAGTGAGAAGGGGCTGTCTCTTTCCCTAATTGAGATGCTCTTCTCTAGGGAAGAGACAAGCTTCCACAGGGGATGGATGATGGGGCTCTGAATTTGCTTCACAGACTTGAAGCAACCGCAAATATGACCTCGCTTCATCGCTGGTGCTTGCCTCAGTATAACCAAAATTCAGGGTGTCTAGGAACCTAAGGAGTACATGAGGAGATGCCAGATTCAGAATATGCCTGCAGACTGTCTTAGGATGAATTTGAATTACCATGTTGCACATTTAGCTTATCAGAAGGACGTGGGGAGGTGAGAGGGAGAAGGGGACTAAATAATCTTCCATTACAAGAAAATGAAGTTCAAAAGTTTAAAAATATCTCATGGATAAAAAAATAAAGAGTTCTATTCATGCATTTTCTTATGTTTGGATAGAGGCATCACACTTGACAGAGCCCTGCCTCAAGCATTGCTTCATGTGGATCTCATAGTAATTCACCATTGCCGATGAGCCTTGTTTTGTAGACAAGGGAAAATGAGGTTCTCTCAGCAGGCCACACAGCTTGCAAGGGTACAGAGAGCTGAAATGAGATGCTGGTCACAGCCCGTACCATGTAGCTTTAGCCACATAGTGTCAGAGAGCTGACGCTGCAAAGCCGGAAACATCCTGAGTTTTCACTGTTCTTTGGCCTCTGTTTTTGAGGCATCCCCAGGGGAATCTCCATCAGACTGGAGGCCGCTCCCACAGATCTTCACCTGACTTTCCAGTTGGCTGAGACGCTGCTTCACTTTCATCTGGGTGGCACTGTACTCAGCCAGAAGCCGTGCAAACCTGGTCTGCAGGGTATCCAGGGAGGACTCCAGGTGCTCTACCTTCTCCTCGATGTCCTTAGGGTCTGGCCCAGCCTTCACCAGGTCCTCATCAATCAGGTTGTCCTTCAGTAGGATCTGCCGTCCCTTCTCCTCCAGGGCCTTCTTGGCTTCAGGGTATTCGGTGAGCGCCTCCATCAGATCATCTTTGGAAAGGCAGAACAAGTCCGAGTATCCAATGCTCCTGATGTTGGCTGTCCTGCGGTTCCCCGACTTGCTCCCCTTGATGTTTAAAATGCTGATCTCCCCAAAGTAACTCCCATCACTGAGGACCACAAATTGGGTGATCCCATCGTCAGCCACCACAGCCAGCTTGCCCTCCTTGATGATGTACATCTCCCTTCCGATGTCCCCCTTCTTGCAGATATAATCCCCCGGGCTGAACACTGCGGGCCGCAGCTTCAGTACCAGCTCCACCAGCAGCCCTGCCTCACAGTCCTGGAAGATTCGGACCTTCTTCAGTGTATCCAGGTGCACATTGATGGCGATTTCAGCTTTCAACTTATCTGGAAGGTTCTTGAGCACCTCCTTCTCATCTACTGTCTTCCTGTTGGCCCACAGGTAGTCAAACCACCGAATAACCCGTGTCTCCAAGTCCTTGGTCACCTTGCGGAACTGCATGTACTGCTTGATGGAATCAATCTTGGCCTGGAACTCTGCCCGAGAGGCATTCATGTTTGAGATCATGGAGCCCACATTGCCCACAATGGTGGCAAAAATTAGGACACCCACCAGGAAGTCTATGACAACAAAGAGATACTCCTCATCTTTCACAGGGGGTGGGGTTTCCCCAATAGTGGTAAGGGTCAGGGTGGACCAATAGAGACTATAAATGTATTTCCTGGAGAGGCGCCCATATTCTGGGTTTGAGATGTTTGGGTAAACCCAGGAATCTGTCCCAAAACCAATGAACTTGGAAATGGCAAAGTAGATGCAAGCATTCCAGTGGATAATGATGAGGATGTACAAGACCAGGTTCCCAATCCTAAACACATTTGGGTAGTTGGTCCTCGTCTCTGTACGATCAAAGAATTCAAAGAGTCGGGCAAACTTCAGCAGGCGGTTGAACCTCAGTTCTGGATAGTTCATGCCCAGCTTTAAATAAGCCAGGTCAGTGGGTGCCAGGGACAGTGCATCCAGCTTGAACTGCAAGCTTTTTGTGTAATGCTTCCACAGCCTGTCGGCATCCTTGACCATCAAGCCTTGCTCGAGGAAGCCTAAAGAAACCATCAATTTGGACATCAATGAGGTTGTTATTTTTCGACCAAGGCCCACAGGAAGATAATTTTATCTTGGGACTACACAAGATATATTTATATGTATACAATAGAAACAAATTCAAAACCCATGTCTACCTTTACCACAGGAGATGCACTCTGATATTTTCTTTCTTTTTTTAAGATTTATTTATTTATTATACAAGCACTGGGTACAGTCAGAAGCGCGGGAGGGTGAGAGAATTCACCAGAGCCAGAGCGGGGAGCAGAACAGGCAGACTGATGAAATACACTGCTGAGGGGAGCAGCCAGCACCACAGGAGAGGTCTGTGTGCCATGTGGAACCCTCGCTGGCAGGCCGGGGATCAAACCGGCGCTGCAGAGGCTGCGGGCAGCTTCGCAACCCAGCACTCAACCGCTGTACCACCAGGGAGGCCCACACTCTGATATTTTCTATGCAGTGATATTCTATTTTATTCAATTAAAATATAGATCAAGTGGGTAAATTTCAATGTGAAGTTGGCATTATATGAAGGCAAGGAATGATTGTAAATTTTAAAAGAAAAATGGAAGCTATATTTTAAAAAAAGCAAATGGGCCTTCTAAAATTAGAGATAGATGCTAAAGTGTTTACTGTCTGGAATTTGCTTTAAAATACTCCAGCCAGGAGCAAGGGATGGGAAGATAGAGGAATCAAGATTAGCAAAATTTGATTTAACTATTGAAGCTTGAGGTAAGGATACATGGGGATACATAGTATTACTCTCTCTCATTTGGTATATATTTAAAATTATTAATAGTAAAATATTTTTAAAGTTCAGGTTATGACCTATCAAATTGATTTCACCACTGAAGGGTTCCCAGAGCTGCCAGGCTTGCTTGGTCAGAGGTAGGTAGTGCCACCCTATGTTCTCTGAACATGCCTGTTCCTCGGATCTCCCTCCTGATGCATACTGTGGGGTCAGTGGTCTGTCCAAGAAGTTCCTGGCCCCAGCACACTCACCTGTCCGGGCTCGCACCAGCATATCCAGGCCATAGAGGACATCTGCAGAGTAGTCCAGGACCAGCCACAGCACCAGGTGCTCAGACTGCAGCTCATCAAAACAGGCCCTAAAACAGTGCAGAAGGATCAGAGCAGGGACAATGGGGGCACCAGCTCTATGCTGCAAACACTGGGTCATTTCATCCCCCAAATAGCTCTGCCTACAGGGCTTGTACCAGAGCATCATCCCTCCAGGCTCTGATGAGGAGATGCAAGTTCTGAGAGGCTTTTCTGTGCCAAGGTCACAGAGGTCCACAAAGAGCTGGGATTGACTCCAAAGAGTGGCTCTAATGTTGCCTCTCATATGGAAAGTAGGAGACCCCAGGAGGGCCAGTTTTTCTGGGCCTCACTGGTGAAGGAGCTCTTGCCTTTACCAGGGTCAAATACTAACAAAAAATAGAAGAATTTCTGAGAGATTAAAATTGAACAAGCCAGCAAATATTTTCTCCTTTCTAAATCTTTATGCTTACTCTTTCCTACATAGAAAATACTTCTAAAACACCCCCCTCCAAATACTCTCTTAGCCTCAAAAGGGTAGCAGGTTGTTCTTGTGTCCCACCTGGCAACTTGCTTAGCACTCCCAAATCCCCTGACCCCCTCGCCCTTCTCGGAATAGCAGCTGATTCCTGGGGGCCTCAGAGCCCTGAGGTACACTCAGAATAATAGCTTGCCTACCTGTCCCCATCCTGTAGGCATACTAGAAAGGGCCCCAAGTTCTCCCCCCTCCTTACTTACCATCACCCCTTGCTCAGACAAATTTGGACAGGCCTGCTTACATGCAGGTGACAGCAGCTGTCCTCTGATTATGAAGGTCTCAAAAGCATTGCTTAGCTCGAGGAGCAGTTGCTCTTTGCCCCATGGTGGCTCAGGAATGCCCCAAAGCCTACTCTCAGGACTCACCCATATGCTCCTCTCACAGGCTGGCTGCCAAAAGCTCCAGGAACCCCCTGCTTACCTCCAGTTGCACAGTTCTGGGGACTTGCTTAGGAATGGCACTAAGTACCCCGCCTCTCCTTCCACCTCTCCCCTCTATGTGCACAAGAGCAGCAGCTCACCCTGTATCCTTGTCCAGCAGGCCTGCTAAGAAGGGCCCTGGACCCCTTTCTGGCTCTCAAGGAGGAGGCACTCACCCCCTTTCAAAACATTAATTTTTACTTGCAGAAATATTAGGATACCCCCATCAGGCGTCACCACAATAGTGAACCCACTACCACGTCAGCAATAGTCCATTTTCCTCTACCATAGCGCACTGTGCCTCCTTCCTTCTTTGTTCTTACTCCTTTTCCACCCCTCCTCTCCCTCTCTGGATGCTTCAGTGCTACATACAGCTGGTTTTCACAGATTAGTTTTTTTTTTTTTTTTTTTTTTTTAATTTTTTTTTTTTTTTTTTATAGAGGCATGCTTTATTTATTTGTTTGCTGGTTTGTTTGTTTGTTTTGTTTATACATGCACTGGGTACAGTCAGAAGCGCGGGAGGGTGAGAGAATTCACCAGAGCCAGAGCGGGGAGCAGAGCAGGCAGAAGGACCGAAGTACACTGCTGAGGGGAGCAGCGGGCGGCAGGAGAGGTCTGCACGCCATGTGGGACCCTCCTCTGGTGGCCGGGGAGCAGCCGGGGATCGAACCGGCGCCGCAGAGGCCGCGGGCAGCTTCGCAACCCAGCGCTCAACCGCTGCGCCACCGGGGAGGCCCTCACAGATTAGTTTTTTAAGCTTGTCTTTATCTGACTCTTGCATTCACTCCTTATCCTGCCCTGAAACTTGCTTAGAAAAGCCCCAAAGCCTCCTGTGTACCTCCATATCGGCAAAGGCTTACTCTGTCCTCCAACCTCCAGCCCAGGAACTCCACCAGGCCCACACCTCCCGTGAAAGCGCAGCTGCTCCCATTTACCCTCAGGTTCCCACCCGGGAAGAACAGCCGCTCGCCCCACGTGACTCTCCAACTTGCATGGGAACGCCCCAGGCCTACCCTCAAAATGAGGCCTCTTTTCCTGCTTCCTGTCCTGCATCTTGCTCAGAAATGCCGCATGAACCCCTATAAGCCCCATTAGAGATGATACAATTAACAAGTTTGTCTTTTCCCCATTTCTTGCAATTCCCCCTTATCTAGCATTAACAGGATTAATAGGTTGTCTTTCCCATTTGTTGCAGCTTCCCCATCCCCTTGAGAAGAAAAACAAGCTGGGGATCACCCTGTGCTGACACCTTCCCCTTCCCTTAAGATGAATGAATTGACACCCATCACCCATCGGCCTCTGTGAAGACCCCTTCCCCTTCCCCGTCTCTTTGCTGACACTTTCCCCCTCCCTTTAATGAAAATCAGCTGGTACCCATCCATCTCCGTGTTGAGCTGGCACCCACTTGTCTCCTTCCCTTTCCCCCTCCCCTTCGCGAACCCCTACCCATCTCCCCCTAGTATAAATACCCCTGCTCACTGCCAAAGAGCAGGGTGGTGGTCTTTCGGACATGAGTCTGCCGCCCTCCTCATTTGTTGACAAATAAAACCGCTTTCCTTTCCCTCAAACTTGGTTTCCTTTTATTGGCTGAGAGAAACTGAGGCCCGCATTTGGTAACAGAGAAACCACACATTCCTACCACCTTCCCTGCAGACTCTCAGAAATGCCAGCTGACCCCTCTTGCCCTCAGAGGGCAGCCGCTAACCTGTGTCGATGTCCTGCAGCTTGCTCAGAAATGAGGCCTTCATCTGCCCTCAGAAGAACGTAGGCCCAGGTACCTCCTCCTGGAGGTTTGCTCAGGAAAGCCCAAGCCTAGCCCCCACTTGCCCTAGAGGAGCAGCATCTTTTCCCAGAATCCCCAAAAGCAGGCTTCCTACAAGAGACCCAAGCCCTACTACCCTCTCTTCTTATTAGAGGAACAGTAACTCATCCCTGCATCCCCCTCCCGCAGCTTGTTTAGGAAAGTTCCAGGGCGTCTGCTTCTCCCTGGAAGATCAATGGCTTGTTCCTGCATGCCAGAGTACATGCTTGTTGAGGAACTTCCTGAGTCCTACATCTGCCCTCATGAAGCAGCAGCCTATCCTGCATCCCTCTCCTGCAGGCCTGCTCAGGAAACCCCACTGCACTAACCACTTCCTCTCAGTAGAGTAGCAACTAGCCCTGCATCTTCCTCCTACAACTCACTTAAGAAAACTCCAAAGTCCCAGAAATCTCTCTATAGATCTCAAGACCAGGTCCCCACCGGTGCTTTGTAGCATCCTGAAGTTCCTCTGTTAGAATTCCCTTGGGAATGGAGAAACTGAGGCACATGCCCCTGAATGGTAATTAAGAGGGGTGCATAAGTCCGGGCTCCTGCATGGGACTCAGTGTTCTGTCTGGTGGCCTGTCTCCACTCTCTTCCCACCCCTGGTTCAGCTGGGGCCTCAGCCTCTCCTACCTGCACACGAGCAGACACCAATTGTAGAAGACAGGCATGGCAATGATGGTCAGCCAGCGGTAGTACACGTTGCTGGAGGGGTCCACCACCATGGAGTCCTTCTTTCTGGAAACATGACAGACATACACAAGCAGGGCAGTGGGCTAAGACCATAGCCTTGGAGTGTCTTAGAGACATGGATTAGCATAGAGACCCTGGAGAAATTGCAGACTGAAGCTCAAGGTAGGGCTGGCTAAGACAGGATCCTATCACATTCAGGGAATGTCATGGGATATCCCTGATGGGGAGATGGGCTGGAGGACAAGGCAGACTCCTGAGGGTCTCCTGGAATTCAGGGTTAATTATAAAATCATGGTGATGACCTGTGGTGTTCACCAGGCCCTGTAGGATGCTGGGGATGAAAATGCAGCATGGAAATGTCACTGGGAGTGGCAGAGAGAACATCAAAAGCATCAGGGACAGCTTTGTGAGTATGCTGATTCCCTGGAGCCACTCAGATCCCTTCGAGGGATGGGCCTGGAAGTGTTCGCTTAAACATTGCCCAGCTGGACTGCTCCTTGTTGGACTGAATTTGGGACACCCCAGAGCATTCCCTGTGGAACACTCACTGCATTTGTGCAGATGCCCCAAAGGTGCAGTTCCAAGCACTTGGATCCTGCCTCTCCATCAAAAGCCACCAACCTGGGAATCATCTCTGTGGTATGGTCAACCCTGAGTGGAAGAAATAGCTTATGGTGCTTTCTGATTTCATTTTCTGGATTTTCTGAGGATTTGAGTTTACAGGCAGTATGGCAGATTCTTCTTTATCTTGGGGTCCATGTCTCCTCCCCTAGTCCCTTGCTCCACACTCTGGTCTAGGCCTGCTGAGCGGCTCCTAGGTCCTGGAGGGGATCCCAGGTACCATCTTGCCTTTGCTGGGACTCAGTAAGTACAAGATCAACAGTTCACTGCCAGGACTTTGGAATAGTCGTAATATTGTGCTCCATGGGGTTTGGATGAGTTTGTGAATGTGGTACCTTCTAGTGTCCTGGAGAAGCCCTCAGTTTATTCCAACTGCATGGGTAGCCACTTGTGTGGGCAAAAACAATGCAGGGAGTGTGGTACAGAAAGCAGGACAGCCCCCTACACAGCTTACCCGAAGCTGCAGACAACTCCCTTTGGAAACCCAAAGTTGGGACACAAAGGCAGCCTGCCAAGATCTCAAGAAGCTTGATCCTGCCATGAGCCATTCCCTTTCCTCTCTCTAGGACTGACAGTGTTGCTCTAAGGCTCCGAGGTCCTGTGCCTCTGGGGAGCAATAGGCCTACTGTGACCATTGAACCCCCGCTTTGGAGGCAGCTTCTCTCAGTACTTACTCCTCTTGTTTTTCACAGCTTTTCTTTTTCTCGTCTTCCTTTCTCTGTTTCTCTTCCTTTCTCGCCTCGTCACTGGATGACACAGGGTGACATTGAGCAATTTGCTTCAACCAAGGACACTACCGCAGTGGACAGGATAGACTACAGTGACCATAGGGAGGAGACTACAGGGAGGAGAGGGTGTGGTGTTGGAAATGGGTCCTTCCAGCACCCTGGGATGAAATGAGTTTGTTGATTTCATAATTAATTATAATTGTAATCATAATTATGAGGAATTAATTATAATTCCCTGAGGTGTGAGGGAAACCACACTACTGAAGTACAGATTTTATACCCTGGAGAATACACAGTACTTCCATCTAATTTTCTACAATTGTCATGATCCCCTAGGAAGTCACAAACTGCCTGAGGCTGGAGATATTTTGAGGTAATTGGAAATGAAGCCAAATTCACATTTAGGTTAAAAAGGTCATGTAAAGTTCTTTGTTCTAAATAAAGTGTGGCCTGTCAATTATTCTCAAAACTGCGTCAAACACAAACTCGGGCCTTTATGGAAAAGCCAGGGAGCAGAAGGGAAGCAAAGCTGGCAGGGCAGGACTAGACGTGCTGTGGAGTGACACCTCCTGGAGAAGTCTGAAGCAAGTGCAGCCGCGTTCAGACACATGTCCACGCTTTGTTGGGCTGTGAGGTTGTGGGTAGGAAAACCTCTTTCTCCTTCATCTGCAGGAAAACTCTATGAATGCAGGTGTCCCCTCTGCTTCCGTTTCTTTACACTTGTCTAATATGGGCAAGACACTACTGCAGAACTTCTCTACTCAGTTATAAGAGCTCTGCAGGCAGGCATTGGTGCCCACTGAACAGTTGAAGAAACCCAGAGGAAAGGTCAAAGACCTCACCTGCCTGAGGGGCACCCACCAGGATCATTATCAGGTTCCTCTGAGTCCCCATTCCTCATCCTGGAGGAAGGGACACTCTGAGAAATGTGTCTGCTGATTAAACACCCACTGAAAAAGACCAAAGCACTTTACATAGCACTTCCTCGGGAAATAATCAAAGATGCGTGCAAACGCGCACATGGAAACATAATCACGATAGTCAGTTCAGGCAGCTCAAAAGAGAACCTTGGTGCCCTTGACATCATCCTCACAGGTTTTTTAATAGTACGCAGGGGAAGCAAGGCAGCAGGGAGACAGCGACTTGGGCCCCTTCACTCTTTTCTCTTGGCTGTCTCTGGCCTTCTCTCATGGCCTCTTCTTCTAGCAGCTGTTGCTCATCCTCTCATAGCCTTTCTCTGCAGTAGCCATTCTGTAGCTAGTCCATCTTCGCTGTCCCTGTGTGACACTGCCCTTACAGCCTCAGCCTCCAGGGTCAGGTGTGCACACTAATGCACGCCCACAACATACTCCAGGTGTCCACACTCAGGCATGCGTGCCCCATGTCCATGCTCCCAAGTGCCTTTTGCTTTCAGGCCACAGGTGATAGCCACAGAGGCTAGTGGCGTAAAAGCCTGATCATTTCACTTACCCTGCAGTGACCTAGTCACTAGCACCAGGGATTAGATATATTGATAGAAATTTTGGGGGAAGGGGATGAAAATATTCTGCCTATCACACTAATCAATCTTTATGGAGACTTTATTAAATACCAAATAATGTTCCAAGCACTTTACACATAGTAACACATTTAGTTTTCACATAACACTGTAAGATACCATTCAATCCCTGTTTTACAACAGTCAGAAAACTGATGCACTATTATCTATCTATCTATCTATCTATCTATCTATCATCTATCTGATTATAAGTTCAATTCATATACATATAGAAACCTTGGAAAGATATTTGCCAACATGTTAAAAAAAGTTATCTTTTACCGTTAATGTGAAGTGTACTGAGTTTGTGTGTATTCTTGAGGATATTTTTCTGTTTTCTAAGTTTTTGAAATGAATGTAGGAATAAACTGAATAAGAATAAAAAGTTATTAAACTTGCTCAATGAGACAAGCAGGAGAGTCACCGTGCTCTACCGTGCTCTGTCCTGGTCCATCTACTATGTCATGTATGTTTCCAAAAATCTTTCTGCCTTGAGTTTTAGCACCAAGATACCAACAGGGGGCGCTGCCCACAAGGTTATCTGGCACACATATCCTGCTGGGAGTTAAATTGCAGCAGGCTTCGCTCTCAGAGTTCTGATTTGTGGCCGCTAGCTAGAGGCTTTGGCCTTTCTTCTGGTTACCAACCTGTTGAGGGCCTAGGAAAGACCCAGTGCTATCCAACTACATACTCAGGCCCACTCAGCATTGCCCCAAAAGACCTTCAGAGAACTGAAATGATGCTGATTTTGGCTGGGTGTGATCGATGTGTGACTAAGGCAAGCACCACCCAAATGCCCAGGGTGGGAAGCATGTGTGCATGTATGATCACACATGTGCTAGCACACACCTGTGTGTGCACAGTTCTCCAGCTTCGTTATGAAACACCAAAGGGCACACAGGAGTGGGGGGGAATAGTTTGATCAGGGAGGAATTATTTAGGATTCATGGGACTAGGTGAAAATGCCAGAAATGTAGTGGGAAAATGGTAGAGGGAGTCCATAAAACTTCTTCCATGTTTTCTTGCCCAGGAAACCCCATTTTGGGCCCCCCCACAATTTTGTGTCTCAGTTGTTGGCTGCAGTGTAGATGCATGATGTGAACCCATTGGAAAAGGTGGCCCAAGGTAGGCAATGCCGGCCACCCCATTCCCACATCCCAGTCCCAGGACAAAGAAGCTAGAGACACACAGGACCTCCATGGCTTCCAGGATCCTGAGCCTTACTCTGACTGTGGGACTCAATACCAGGATTTCAAGGGTGTTTAATATCAGGTTTGGCTTTAAATCAAGCACATTTTGCAATAGCTTTTGTTTTTGCAGATCAAATAATTTCATTTTCTTTGATTGCTGGCATCAAGTCTCTGGATTTGATGTCCAAATGTATGTAAACAAATGCAACTACAATTTACAGAGGGAAATAGAAGTTCTATCAGGGGAACAAAGGAAAATAACACGAAAAGCTTTGGCACATTTCTAAGTAGAAGTCAAGAAATTGGCATTTCTTAATGGCATTGTGGTTTTCCCCTAAGCTCCGAATGAGGCCTCCCTCCCCTGTGTGCCCCTTGGTGTTTCATAACGAAGCTGGAGAACTGTGCGCACACAGGCGTGTGCTAACACGTGTGTGATCACACATGCACACATGCTTCCCACCCTGGGCATTTGGGTGGTGCTTGCCAGAATCACACATCAAACTGATCTGCCAGCTCACCATGTAGTGCTAGAAAGTAATTACAGGAGGTCACCCTTTCAAGAGGCAATTCTCTGGAAATATTTAAATCTCTTTCCACTGCCCTGATTACACCCTCCAAATTGGTTCAAATTGACCTTAAGACAAGGGCGTTTCACTGGCACACAGGAGCTTGAGGCTGTCGAATGGAAAGTGCATTCTCATCCTGAAGAATACCCATTGTTCCAGGAATTCAACGTTTGTACTCTCATGTATTTAGCAACATGAGATATTAAAGCTTAACATGTTTATCCCATCCATTCCCTCTGCTTTAAACATAAGAATAATGTGAGAAAGAAAGAAAAGGACTTGTCCAAAGAAGTCATACACACTGGGTCTCTTCTCCCTGTTTGTTCAGGGAGATGGAGTTCCAGTGAAAGGAACTAGAATGGTCTCGTGGTGTTTTGGGAGGTTGGGGAGCAGGAGTACTTAAGGAGGGAGTGGCTGGGCCTTCTACAGGGAGGAGGGTGTTGGTGGGGCAGAATACTCACTCCTCTGAGTTGTTGCAGGCATTGGTATTGTTTCTGGCCAGCGGCCAGTCACTGCAGGGAGGCAGAGAGAGCACAGTGTGGGAATCTCAACTCAGTTCCATTGCTGGGGACCATCCGCCCCAGGTTAGCCCTCAGCCCCCATCCCATCTCCAGGGCCTCTCCACACCATTTGAAGAACAGAGGGCATTGTTACTGTCATGAACAAATTTTTTTGTTGACTAGTTAGCGCTGGTAAAGCCTTGGGGGAAGCGAGGGTGAACACTTAGCTATGCTAAGACTTCTGAATAACCAGGGATTAACCCTGTGAATCCCATTCAGCACCCAGGCCCCAAGTTTCACTGAGTTTCATTTAGTTAACCATGTGCCAGGCAGCGTGCCAGGAGCTAGGAGGGGCACAGAAATGCTTGCATGTGACGCCTGGCCTGGGGCGCCTGGCCTCTGGGTGCTCTCGGGTGAGGTCCTCAAGCGCCTCCAACACCAGAGTGGACACACCAGCTGAAGGGGCAGTTTGTTAAACACCCACAGAGTCTGGCTCTCAAGGTGTGACTTCTCTACAAACTCCAATCACACTATCTGCTTCAGGGTGAAAATAGACCATGGGCAGAATTATCCCAGCTTTCAATCTATCCTCCCCCACCGCTCACCCCATGTTCATCTTAAAACTTCTGGGTCTGCCATCCCTGATCTTTGTGAGATTCTGATAGGAGGAGGGGCGGGTTTTGCCGATTTAAAGCTGAATTGCATAGTTCTCTGTGGGGCTCCACAGGAAAGGGTACCATCTCCAGCTGTTTGAATGTCAGTGCAAGTTTTCGACATTCGAAAACTTAAAACATTGGCTTAAGACATTCAACTTGACCTCACAGAGCTGAAGGGCAGCTTGCCCGTCTGCGGTCACTAAGGACCCAGGGCTTAAGAGGCCCTGGGGACCGAAGCCACCAATGGGTGACACTCTTGCCTGACTTCAGAGCACTGAGTGCCATTTTGGTACTTCTCTCCCTGCCCAAATCTCCCTCTCTCCACTGAGGATAAGCCTCGATTTGCTTATTTCAGGATTCATTCTGATCATCTGAAAATTCCTAGAGGAATAAAAACCCCCTTGAGATTGTGACAGAAACATTAGCCCCCTGGGGGTGCAGTGACCCATGTTAACCACACTTCTGTGCCCATGATATCACAAGGCCAACCCCACAGAACTAAGACCTGTTTCTCCATACACTTTGCTGGGGGAATTTGGTCTTGAAAATTCAAAGTTTTCCTCCTCCAGGAAGCCTCCTTGCTTGATCAATTACCATCCTACACCTTTGTATTTATCTACCCACTCTGAGCCTTCTGGCGAGTGAGTGACCAGACCTGCCCCTAATATGATTCTACTCAACTTTCTACATCTGTTCATGCTGGGAATTGATCAGTCTACCACTCATCTTTAGTTCAAGGTGTTGGAGAAGCTAATTTGATAAATTAAGCCAAGGAAGTCTTTGCTTGCCTCAAAGGAAATGAACGTTCTCACTGGCTTGTTAGCAAAACTTCTCTCTCTCTCTCTCTCTCTCTCTCTCTCTCTCTCTCTCTCTCTCTCTCTCTCTCTCTCTCTTTCTCTCTCCTTCTCTTCCTCCTTTTTTTTCCCCTCCATCTTCTCTTCTTTCTTAGCTGATTTCCGTCTTTCTGGCCCAGCAGTGAACAGCATGGAGCTTTGCAATCCAGGAACTCCCTCACTTGGGATGTCTGCCTGGGAAACCAGGACCCCTCCACATGTCCTGGCCAGCACGCAGGCCCTCATGGTCCCTTTGCCAAACTCAGGGAGCTGGAGTACCTGTAGCCCAAGCTCATGTGAAATGCATGCCAGAGAATACTGCTCCAGCAAAGCTCTGCATCTCAGCCAGCAATGCCCTCCCCTCTTCCCAGAGGAGACGGCTAAACCTGGGTCTCCTAAAGAGGCCACTAGCAAGGCATTTCCTTGGACTCATATTTTATCTTAAATATGCTTGCACATTTTGCAATCTACAGCGTTATATACAATAAAAATAGCCCTAACCCTGCAAAAATGCAGCAATAAATCAAAACTCCATATGGCCCTCACTTGTCCATTTGAAACACCCATACCTGAGACTTTCTGCATAGTTGATGCAAAACCAGATGACATTTTCTTTAGTAATTACAAAGGGACTGTCTATTCTGCAGCAGCCATGCTTACCTTCTCTTATAAATCTTGGTTTTCCTACAGAATTCAGTCAAAAGAAATTTTCACGTGCTTTTTCAGAAAGTAGGTTCCGAGCAGTAGGTTCCTGTCTGTGATGCTGAGGAGAGGTCAGTTTCCCTCCACATCTGGCCTCGCCTTCCCTCCAACTACCCCATTGCCCCTGAGAGACTCCTCCTAATCAGGCACAAGTGAATCAACCTGTGGTGGCTCAGTGGCCTCCCTGCTGACCAACAATTGGGGAGATGCCTCAAAGAAGAGAGGGAGGAGGCAGCAGCTCCATGTAGGATATGTGTGGGGGGTCATGTCTGTCCACCACCTGCAGATTTTCCTGCATGTGCAGCCCAGACAGCACCAGCCAAAAGGCCGCAGTCAGGCAGTGGGCCCCGCGGAAGGATCTTCAGGGCTCTGTCTGCAGAAATCTTTCCCACCAAAGTGCAGACATGCTCCACATCTCCCTCTACCCCCAACTGCTGTCCCCCACAATTGTGCTTACCATGATCTGGAACATGGATGGTTCCCCTTGAAAATTTTGACCAACTGAAATTGAGGCTGAATGGTGAAACTGGTCTCAGGCTCTAAAAGCACTAAAGAGGGGAAAAATCCCTTTTCTCAACTTCTCTCTGACTCTTGTTTTTAAAGACACTGCAGCATCTGGAGGCTTCGTGACTCATGTTGACCTGAGCTTCAAGGTCATCTTGAGCAAGGAGATGGCAAACACAGAGTGGGGGGGTGGTAATCAAGAGTGAGGGGCCTTTTGTGTTTTGAAGCTATCTTATCTGAAGAAAAATTTTTTCATACTTGCTCATGTATGAAAAGCCCTATAACTAGCCAGAGAACTGCAAACAAGTCCATATTTCTTTGCCTCAATCTATTTTCACTCAATAAAATTTAACTCCTTGGTTCTCAACTCAGTTCCCCCTAAACCTATTCATTCCCTTTCTTACCTGGGGAGGTAGAATTGAGTCTATCTCTGAACAAATCAATTTTTAAACAGCTGAATTTTCTTCTCAAAAGCTGATGTCATGGTACGAGTTTCTGTGAACATTGGGTAGCAAACCCCATTGCTCCGTAACACATTTTCCAGAACTTCTTTTCTGGAAGAATTCATGCATACCATTTATCCACCCAGGCTGGTGGTAGAAAAGCCTCTGTTTTTTAGCAAGATATGTAGCATGCAGTCTAAATTGATGAAGAGGGACTGGTGAGACCAGCAGGCTCAAATGCATTTCTGAGAGCACTGATTCCAGCAGGGGCTAGCAGGAGCTCTGAGCGGGACAGGGTCAGTGTCAGAATAGGGCAGGACCCTGGTCAAAGAGTTTCTTCTCTTTCAGATCACTTAAGATGAGGGGACTGCAACTTTCCCCCGAGAGATACTTTTTTTTTAAATTTTATATATATTTTTTACATCCTTTTTCATTTTTGCACAATGTATATATTTTCATCTTGGTTATAGTCCCCATACTATTCCCACCCCCTCATTTTGACCCTAACCCCTCCTCCCTTCCTCACCCCCTACCCTGCAGTGTGTCTCTGGTTTATTGTTGCTTGGTGCTTATTGATTTTTACTTTATTATAATTAGTCTTTTTCCTGGTCCCTTATTTAGGTTTTCTAAATTCCTGCTATGAGTGAGACCATCCGGTATTTTTCTTTTTTTTCTGGCTTATTTCACTGAGCATGAAGCCAAGAGACACTTTATTCAAGGAACAGCTCAGAAGGCTGGAGCTGCAGAATCACCCATACAGTGGCTCTTAGCTACACTAAGCAAACCAATGCTCCCCTTCTGCCCTGGCTGGTGCAGGTGGCTCTCCTTTCTCTTTGGCTCCTTACCTTCTCTCCCTGTCTGGTGGCTCCAGGCTGTCCATGTTTGACCTGGCATTGTTTTCTTGGCTGGACACCTCCTTGAGCTCAGCTCCACGGAAACGCTCCAGAAAAGAGTCAGGTCTCTGGTCCTCATGGTGCACGTGCCTGGCAGCCCAGGAGCGCAGTGAGATGATGAGGCGTGACAACCTGGAAGGCCCAGATGGGCGGTGAGGAAGGCGATGGTGAGCCCTGTTCTGGAGGGTGGGGTCAGAGCAGAGGTGACTGGCAGGACATGGGTCCTGGGGCACTGTGGGCCCAGGCTTGCACCTCCACTCTGCAGGGGTTCTGTATCCCTCTCCCCTCTACCAGCTGCATCGGGGAGAGAGATTCCTTGGTAAGGCACACTGCCTTCATTATGGCTTTGCCCTCAACACCCAGACTCTGCCCAAGTCATGAGTCTTCAAACGGGGCGGCAGCAAACTTTTCTACTCATCATTCCTGTTGCCCAATGTAGAGTCTTTGCTGTGACCATGCTGTTTCCAAATGGTGACACAATTCAGAGCAAGGTTTAAGGAAGCAAGCACCCAGACACAACTCAGATTTTTTCCCCAACCCTTGTCTTACTGTTTCTTACACAAACTTTTGTTTTCTCCCCAGGTTCATGCAGAGTTGCCCTGACCTTTCTCCTTGAGTCAGGACCTGCCCTGAGACCAGACAGTTCAATCCCCAGAGCTCATCTTAGCTGGAGCTTTCCATGAAAGCTCATCCCTTAGCCCTGCCACCTGCCTTTGCTGTTTCTGCCAGAGGGGCACAGGAAGAGACACTCACAGTTTCTCAGTGTCTGGATTCCCTGACTTGGCATCAAGGTGTACCACTGTTCCCAATAAAGTCAATTCTGAGCAACCTGGAGCAGTCAGGAATTGTCCCCTACTTTGACTCCAATCATATTCTTCTGACTCTTAGCCCACAGGAATATATTGAAGCAAAAAAACATCTCATGCACAGAGATGCTTACAATTGCTGCTGTAGATTATATTGAGGTGCCTGCCAGTCCAATCTCTTCCTGGATACCCCCTTCTCTTTGCTGTGAAGGGAGAAGCAAGTAAAGTCATACTCCCCACCTCCTATCTTAGCCAACAAGCCCAGAGAAGAACAACTGTCCCACAACTAGTCATACAAGTCCAAGGGCCATTAAAAGCCACTCCAAGATGAAGTTGGATGTTTGGAGATCATATGGTGAAGGCTGTTTTCAGCCTGTGCTTCCTGGTGTGTGACTAGAAGAAGCCAGAAAGGCTTCCAGGAGACATGCAGAAAATCAAAAGCACAAAGACCATGAACCTCCATGAGAAAATGAGGAGACGGCAGCTGCTTTCCCTGCTCCTCTGTCAAGAAAGCCCTGGCTCCATTTCCATGACATAGTGTGTATATGAGTTGAAGTGGTCCAGCCTGACCACAGGACTGGCTGTAATCATTTGAGCTGGCTCAAAGGTGCTCTCTTCTTTGCAAAAGTCTTAGGACAGCATTTTAGTAGTAAGAAACAACACAGGAAATCACCTAAATGCCTGGCTATAATGGACAAATGAAAATAAATAATGGTAGCATCCTCCTGCAATAGTCTTAAGTGAAAACTGTAGGACACATTGTTAAAAAAACTGGGTGGATGGAAATAATGAGCCTAAGATTTGTGAGCACCTGTCCTGAGTTGGTGCCTGACAGCCTCACAGCAAACTGGGGAGGGGGGAAGGTTTATGAGAAGCATTTCTAGATGAGACTTGAAAAGATGAAATGACTTCCTCAAGGTGGCACGGCTCTTGAAGCCACAGCACAGATGTCATCAGAAGGGACACGGCGCCTAGTTAAACTTTCAGATGATTTTGTAAGGACCCTCTATGAAGTCTAGACATGTACTGTGAGGACAAGCAGGGGCTATTTCAGACATGCCACTATTGTCCTCTCTATGCCACTGTCCACTGAGGGGTCTCCCACAACTGGCTGGTCTTTTTTTCTGTATTATTTCCTGAACCTTTCCTGGTTGTCTAAACCCTCCCCCGACTCCAAATTCTCCCAGAATGAAGCAAGTCTTTCAACATCACTTTTTATTGAAGCAAATTCAGAGAAAGGCAGTTTTTCTTAGACATTTCAGAGCTCAGAACACCTAACCCAAGAGGAAATTACTCACTGATAGATTCCTCACTGCTCCTCTCCTGCCCCTTTCACCTCCCAATCTTTAATCCAACGCCCACCCACCACTTCTTCCTGAGACAGAGCTACCTTCCTTCTGCCTCTGCCTCCCTCTTCCTCAGGTGAGGACTGAGACTGGTCAGTTACCTTGCAGGCCCTGGGCCGGTGAAGGAGCTTTGCCTGGATTCAGCCAGTCCTCTGGTCTCCATGGCGATCCCTTGCTGCAGTTCTGACGCTGTCTCTTTGCATGGCGGGTGGGTCCTAGGAAATCAAATATGCAGCAAGCTAAATTGATTTCAAGCTTATCCACCTCCTGGACACACTCAGGAATGAGATGGCCAGATGTCCTGCTTAATGAGAGCTGCCGCCACAGATCCTAACCCAGGGGCTCCCCACTTGAGTCCACACTCCAGCAAATCCTGATTTTGAGATATATGTGGCCTTTCCTTTGTAGCAAGCATGACCCAGGAAGGTAGCTCATGTCCAACTACTGCCATGGACTAGGTGAGAGGGAGCAAGTCAGCAGAAACTGTCATCAGAGTATGGTGTGGGAGCGCCAGACTCATGCCTGCCATTATGAGCCACAGCAGCTGTTTTGACACAAAGATTCCAGAATGAGGATCTGGGTTCAAATGCATCTCTGCACCCTGAAATCCTCTCTTCTAGGCCAGATCAAGTGCCATCTCCTTCACAAGTCTTCCCTAAACTCCTGTCCCACTGTGTGTGCTGTAGTCACATGACCTGGGAACCCACTGGTTAACAGGAAGGTCAGAATATTGTATGGATTCGGCCTAGCCCTCTATGTACTTCTGTACAGTGATTTCAAATGGGAACCCATTTCCACTGTGCCCTTTGGTCAGGCTCTAATCTCTGTGCCCTGCAATTTGGGGGACACTGAGTTGGTGACCTCACCTGTGTAATTCAGGGTGAAAAACATGAGCAAACATAGGACAACTCCATGTGAACACTTGGCACATCAGCAGAGACTATAGTTTGCTGAATTGCCTGGAATAAGATCACTGTTGTTTGGGCATATTTTCCTTTTTTGTACAATGAACTAGGGCTGATGTTTGATCAGCCTGATTGAAAGTCATCCAGGCATCAGCCTCCAGGGATTTTACACTTCATTCTGTGAGTCTTGAAGAGCCCAGGCAAGACAAATTAATTCCATCACATGACCTATTCCAACCTAATCAGCCTTCTTAACAAGGTGGTAACATGGGTAGAAGATGGAAGCAAGGATTAGCATTAGAAAAAATGTTCTCTGTCTCCCTAGTGAGTGATTAGAAGTCAGACTCCTGATTCCTGGCCGCTGAGCTGCTGACTCCTTCTTTCTACAACATCCCTGCCACCCCCCAGCAGCAGGGAGCTCACTACCGTCCCAAGGCTGTCCTGGCTCTGATCTACTGCACTCTGTGGGCATGACCACTTTCAAATAACCTAATTGGATTCTTCTTCTATATTCATAAGACCACCCATATCACCCACATCTCATAATTAAACATATAAATGCATGTAAAGATGACTGCAGTTAGGAAGCTACCACTCTTTTGAACTATTTTGTGTCCTACAAAGGTAGAATGCACATTCCCTGGTACCTGGGTCAGTTGCAGGAGGATGTGGCAGGGGGACAGGTGAGTTCATCTCTCCAGTCCCAGGGGACAGGGCAGCAAGTGAATGATGGGTTGGAGCTCTGTCAGGATGTGTGCCCAGAATACCTAGAGGTGATCCCAAGGAGGGCAGAGTTCTGCACCCCAACCCCCACCATAGTAGTACTGCAGGGAACACTAGGCACCGACCAGTCAGTCCAGCATTTCTGTCTAGTCTGGTTTCAGTTAATTACATGTGGGAACATCTTGGGACCAGGTTTATTTGCATTAGCAGCAAAGGAATCCAGGCCTGTGACATTAGTGCTGGGGGCTGGCCAGGAGGGCAAATCCATGCTGGATTTCAAAGCAGGCTTGCTACTGGCAACAGAGCTACTGTGTGTGGACTGGGCCTATGAAGCCCATTCAAGAAGGGTGGCAGAGTGGAGAACCCAGAGTCAGGGTTTGAATCCCTACCTCAGCACCTGGCAGTTTAGTGTTGCGTGGGCTGGTCACCTACCTTCCCTGAGTCTACATTTCCTGGTTTTCAAAAAGGGAATAAAGGAAAAATTGGTGATTTCATATTGATCTAAGAATTATGCAAAGATCCAAGTCCTGAAAGGCACATTTTGCCAAGAAGAATGAGAGAGACTTGCATGGTATAAATTCAAGGGACCCAAGAGAATTTTTCTTCCCAATGCATCTCTCTGCTTATATCTTGATGCTTGAAATTCTGCCAAATCAGTGTCTTTCTTCTAGCTGTGGAGTCTTCACTCTTGTTAAGTGATTGGGAGTATTTAAATAGCAAATGCAATTAGTTCCTCCTCAGAGAAACAGATTTTACCAAGCAGATGGAAGGGGATATGGGAAGAGGAGAAGCAGATATCTGAGGTGTCATTTTAAGTTCCCAGGGATGAGACAGGAGTTCAAAAAAGGGAAAAACTTTGGGCAACCAATGCAAGAATGAGCTCTAGAACCTTCCAGGGAAATACAGATGTGGGAGAGACTGGGGGTTGGAAGCTGTCCTGTTTGCAGCTGGCTGAGGGGTCTTGGGTGAGGACTTGTTAGGGTCTTGGTCCCTACAAAATGAGCAGATCGGGCCAGGACAGCCCAAAGCTGCCCTCCCACCCTCGGCTCCCATTCTAGGTAGTGATGATGTCTTTGCAGGACAGAGCTCCAGGAAGTCAGTAAGAATCAGAGCAGCTAGTGCCATTCAATGAGGTGCAATGAGGTTTTGAAAAATCAGGTAATTTTCAACTTGTAATGCTCAACTTGTCGGTTTATTTATTGAGAGAAACTGACGTCTAGAAAGTAAAGTTTCTTTCTGACTTTGGGAGGGGACAGAGTTTCTCATCAGAACTGGAACTGGTAACTAACGACCTTTGTGCTCTGGAGCATCTGTGTTTTCCTCTGCTCATTTTGGTGTCATGACAGTAAACAGAAGTGACCCTTTAGAACAATGGTAGAGGATATGATAACTTAAACTTTACTTTTCTTCCTAAAAGCCCTTGAACAACTTGAATGAGCAAAGCCACTGCCACTGGCCACATGTGACCAAAGAACTGAAGTCAGTGCTTTTTGTCTTCGGTCCTGGGGAAGCAGCTGGAAGGGTTTCCTTTGTGATAATTGCTTTGGGCTCTACTTGGCAAGCAGCACAAAGAAGGCTTCTCTTTTCTAGGACACAAACTTCTATGCCCAAAAGCTCATCTAAAATAGCTACACCTCAGGAGATGGTCTGGGATTTGGGGTGAATTGGTCCAAGCTGCAATTCTCTATAACAGAATCTGAAGTCATTTCCTACTGCCTTATCTTCCAAAGAGTGCCAGGTAGCTCTTACATAATGGAGTCAACTAAATGGATCTAAATAGAAAAGGAAAATTCAAGACATTTTTATTTCTGGTAATTCCAGCTTGTAAATTTCATTTTTTGTTCAAATGAAACATCTTTCCTTATGACTCTTCATTAGGAAAATTAGCCCAATAATTTGAGGAGAAACAGAGACCTGGGTCTTCAGTTTGGTGAAAGACCCTGGAGGAGGAATGTCTCCGGGGACAGGACAGGGCAGTTCCTTCCCATTGGGAGCATTCAGCAAAGTACCACACCAACAGTTTCTAATTTCAAGCACTTTCTAGATATCATTGAAGATAAATAGAGATGATGATCTAAGGACACACATATGATTTTTCCCAAGAGCTTTCTGAAACATTTAGAATTTCAAGACAAAGATCTATGGTTTGTTCAGACACAATTTCATTTGTTGCCCCAAAATAGTGATCTGAAACTTTAAAAATTTAATGTAGAGCAGGTCCTCAATGTTGCTATGTTAAAATACTGCTGAGAAAAAAAATAGGATTCCCAGGTGGAAATCCACTGTCGGTGTGGAGTTTGCAGTTCTCCCTGCGTGTCTGTGTTTTTTCTCTGAGCAACTGAGGTTTCCTCCTATCCCAAAGATGTGCCCCATGAGTGTCACTGGCGTAACTCAGTTGTCCCAGTCTGAGTGAGTGTGGGGGGGTGTGTGATGCTCCTGGTGATGGAAGGGCGTCCTGTCCAGGGTTAGTTCCCACCTGTACCCTGAGCTACTGGGACAAGCTCTGGCCACTCAAGACCCTGAAATGAATGAACACAAAAGCCATTTACTATGAGATGTGTTTTGGGTCTTTCTTTAGAAGTTTAGTGATGTTATTGAGATCCGTAATATGGTGAGGGAACTTAACTCTGTGTATATCAAGTCACCAGTGGTAGCCTTGTTTTCATTGTATGTCCTGGATTAATGGAGCAGCTCAAGAACCTATCAGTGGTGTTAAATGAGGACTTACTTGTACATAAACCAGTGTCCTCTGTCTGACCCTGACAAAATCTGAAACTATTCAGGGAGTAGGGGTGGACCTGTTATGGGGATGGGAAGACTGGGAAACACTCATCACATTTTGGGGCCATCGGATAGTGGTAAGACAAAAAATAACATTAGTATTGGGAATAAAATTTCTCATGGTTCATCTCAATCATCTCATTGAAAATTCAAGCAACATTAAAAAAAAGGATTCCATTTGCACCAAATAGGTACTATTTCCTCACAGTTATGTCAAAAGCTTGGAAAAGAATGCTTCCTTTCAGTTGAAAGAAATGAGGCATGGAGAAGCTAAGTCAGTTTTCCAAGGTCTATTAGTAAGTTAGGAATGGGGCTACGAGCAGGACTCCAGGCTCCAGATTTCCACACAGCTGCCTGGGTTGGGGTGTTTTTGGTGGGGCTGATAGCTTTGCTGACACAGGCACAGCCTACTCTGCACAGGTCCACAAGCACAGTATGAACCCTGACCTTTTCCTAGAAGTGAGGACAGGGCATGTGATTTACACTACATCCCTCGTGCCCAGCACACAGCAGGGGCACAGGCAGAGTTGGGCACATGTTTGGGAAAGTGTGACAGTGTGAGGAAGTCTTTATAGTAGAATTTAATCTCCACATTTGAATCTTCATTTGATTACCTTCTAGAAGTTATGTGATTCTTTGAGCCTCATTTTCCCACATCTCCACAATGAGAATAATAACCACTTCCATGTGGATCATGAGTGCGGTGAGAAAAGAAGTTAGAAGGAGCACTGTTAATGGCCCCTGCTCTCCCACATGTGGCTGGCAGCACCCGAAGCAGTCTTTCCCCACAGGCTAGATCAGCTACGGGAATAACCTCTTTCAGCACAAAGTGAGAAGTCCATCTCACCTGTTGAGGCCATTTTCAAGGTGGTCAAGATCTCTGTCCTTCGTCCTGACTGTGAGGTGGTTCATACAGGAGTGGGAGTACTGGGTGCTAATCTTGGCCATCTTCCTGTTTTGTCCCATTCAGCTCCAGGGTGATTACTGAAATGTGAACATGAACAGATATATCAGCATGTGCACTAGTGCCCACACCTTCCTGCATTTTCTCTTCCTCCCACATGGAGGGTTAAGCATCTCTGAGCTCTCCTTCCCTTAAGCACTAACTAGCCCTTTTACTCCTTTGTCTATACTGCTAGCTGAAGAATAGCTCAAAGACAGTGCAGATTCAGCAAAAGAATGAATGAATGGTTGGTTTGGCATCTGATGTAAGAAAGTTAAAACCCTTTTGATTCTCTGGGATGATCAAGAACCCTCTTGACTCTAGTTTTCTCATTTATTTCTTTTTATATTACAATTTTGCACATGTTTTAGTAGCTTCCTCAAATCCTGACTTAAAACAAAGCATAAAAACTAACAAAACTTGACATTCATAAAACCTTTACAATGTGGTGTTAAACCCAATAAACATTTCATTTCATTTAATCCTCATAATAACCTCATGAGATATTTACAATTTTTATCCCCATTAAAATGACTAAATTGAGACTCAGAGACATTAAGCACCTTATCCAAATGAGGAAAAAAAAAATAATAACCCTCTCAGTGGCATGATTCTTTGTGCTAGAAATCAGACCATAATTACTTTCCCTTCAGCAACAATTGGATGGATGAGAAAAGAAAGCTGAAGTGAGCCAAGGCTGGTGTGATGGATACAAAGATTGGCCACTTCCATGACATCTAATCAAACCCTTCCGTATGGAAGATGAACTCCTAAGGATGCTCTGAAACAGATGAGCATGGGTTCCCTTGAGCAACCACATGGCTTAAGTGTGTCAGGTGTCAGTACAGACCACTCCAGAGAAAAGTGATTTCTAGAAATAGCCAGTGACTCACTCCAGGCCTAAATTAATTCCACATCCAAAGGAAAGTCCATACAAGGAGTCCAGTGCACAGCACTAAAGCAGCCAGCAGGAGTGTGGTGCCTGTTCACCCAGGCCAGATCACCAGGGGTGCTCAGGGGTAACTGTTGGCTCAGCTGGTCCAGGATCATCTCTGTTATTGGATAGTTTGTCTGTGATTTTGAATTTTATTATTTTCTCAATAGATTAAAAGTTTTTAATTTTTAAAATCTTGATTCACTTATGCCACAATGAGTGAGTTTCTGCCTAATCACAGGAAATACAAAGAAATATTAAAAAAAAGCCTGTTCTCGAGGATTCAATAGTCTAGTGGAGCACAATAGATACCAGGGGTTCCCACGTTATGCCAAAGATGTTGCATTTTAACCTGAGCTTAGCAGGGATGTGATCAGATATGTAAAGGCCATTCTGGCTGCATTGAGAACATATTCAGGGAAAACTAGTGGGTAAGAGATGACCAGCTAAAAGCCTACAACAGTGTCTCAGGGGAGAGAGAATAGTTGCCTAAATTAGGTTTGTGTTAATGAATCAGATAAATTTTAAAAAAAAACCAAATGGATACAATATCTGGGGCTTTATAGTTGATTAGGTATAAGGGGTGAAAAAGAGGGCCCCTTGTAATGTGGAGTGGACCCAGGGCTGGGCAGAGAAGGTATATGAGATGCTGTGGATGGAGGAACAGAGATCAAATCTCCCATTATATCTCCCATTATAACATGTTCTGAGGCCTTTCAGGGCTCAAAGAAAACTATCATTTAACCCTCTAGATTTTTCTAGGCTGGCAAATGATCAAATAAGCATCAGACAGATTGATAAGAAAAAACAAAAAGAAGTTTAATGATGTCTTATATACACCTATATACACGAGAGAGACCCAGCATCACTGAGTAACTCACCAGATGGTTTTAGAAGCCATCTTAAATAGCTTAACTAAAACTAGGGAGGTTGGGGGGAAGAAAGAGGAAGTTCTGTTACCTAGTGTATCTGAAAAGGTACATCAGATGAAAGATATGCAGATTTCAATTCTGTCTCCATTGAAGAGATAAGGAGATAAGGTCTTCCTGGGAGAGGCCCTTACAGAGAGTTCACATATAAATATCAAAAGCCACATCCACCAGCCTTCAGAGACCCTTCAGTGAAATAAACCTTTTGCCAAAAAACATATTTTGGGGTGACAGATTTTGGATCCCCTACAGGCTGAACTCAAAAGGACCAAAGACCTCTCAATCTGAGTGTGGCCTCCATGTCACTGTGAAAGTGATTTGTCAGGATAGGCGCATACTAGGATAGGGCACGTTTGATTTAGCAGTGTGCGACCTTGCTGTCTGTAATGGGCATCTCTGGCCCTCTGCCTCCCATCCTGCCTGCCCAACTTCCAGGGCATCTATGGCTATGCACCCAGCCTCTTTTTGCATCACTGTGCAGAACTTTGCCTCAGACACAATGTAGATTGTCTACCCTCTTCCCTGAGGCCTCCCTGCTTCTCCAGGGGACCACCCATGGGACCACATCGGCCATTCTGAAGTTCATGCAAACCCAAAAATACTAGAGAATTTACACCCTTTGGACAGTCCTTAACTAAGGTAATATCCCCCTCTTCTACTTCGTAGGAAGACAACTCAAAAGTACAATCTGTGTGGCTCTTCTGAGAAGCCCAAGAAGTTTCAAGTGAATTACCCAGAATGGTAATCCTTTTGATAATGTCCACTTGGGGTGATTTCCTCTTCTTCCCCCTTTTTATTTCTCTTCCAAGATCCCTACTTCTCTTCCTTGGAATCACTGCAGATAAATTGCCTGACAGTTAATTGACAGCAAGAACTATTTCCTTTTACTTACATCTTTTTTTTTTTATTTTCCTAAACACCCAGCACATACACATGGATGGCATCAATGATGGAGGAACAGGTGAGTAATTGCAATGATGACTCTAGTAATAACAGTGTAATTACCAAGTATGCACTCTGCTTGGTGCTATTCTAATAGCTTCCAATGTATGTTGACCCTTTTGATGCTCACACATTCCTGGGAATGAGTCACACTGAACATTTCTGTCCTTAAACACTGATGGGAATTTATAAGGGAGCAAGCAAGTATGCAACAAAGGAGATATAAAACATGAACAATCTTTTTGCTCTAAAAGAAAATGTGTTCATAATGACTAACTGTATAAAAAGAATTGCCTGTGCTCTGTCCTTTAAATTTTTTTCAATTATGGTTTAAACATAAAAACCAGTCCTGGTTACATTTGTGCCATTGGAAACATTATCATTTTCTACGTTTTAAATATAGTTCATCCAGTGTGGGTGATCTTCTTATCCACTGCAGCCCTTTCTGAGTTATTTTTGTTGTTGGTTATGACTCCTATTCAGTCAGTGGTTGGCAGGTCCAATTAGTGAGGCATCAAGTCTGGACACAGAGCCATGCCAAACAAGCTAAAACCCCAACCAGAGGAGACTCCCACAACCTGATGGATGAGCCATTTTTTTTCCAGCTGAGATGGGTCATTTGTACCACTTGGGGTCTTCAATCTTCTCAAAGTGGTGTCTTTCTTAGTTTCATTTATTTCAGTCCTCAACAACTCAACTTTCCAACCATCACTCTGGGCAAAAGCACTCAGCAAATTCTCAGTAAATGTGATGTTGCACAGGCTCATTTGTTAAATTTAACTCCAAAGATAACTCAGGGTCTACATGCCCACTGTCTAAAACATACTCCTAATTGCCTTTCCCTTCATCCCCCGCCCCTTCTGAGTGCTCAGAGTAGAAGGGAAAACGACCATGGTTGAGTAAATCACCATGAGACCTGTGAACCAGCCCACAGGACACACACAAGAATAGAACAGACATTACTATGCTCTGCAATGAGGACTGTGTATTTTCAGATGGTCCTAGGCTTGTAAGGAGGGAAGGCCCCACTAAAATCTCTTTTCTCTGAGACAAATGACATTGGAAAGATAACACGGGGTGAAAGGCACTGTACTAAGTGAAAGGAGAGCTGGATTCTCATGCTGTAAGTCAATCTTCACCGTCAAGCTTCTGTTTAGATAAAAGAAATTTAGTTCTGCCAGCCTCACTGCTGAGCTGAGCCTTGTCACTCTGGGTCACTAAGTATCGTTTCATAGTAACCCTTGTAAGTGTTTTAAAGCTTTTAATGCTTTTGATACTTATAAGAAAACTTCCTTGAAATCAAAATTCTAAAAATAATGATGTTTCTGATTAAAAAGAAAACATGGAAGCCTTAGAAGAGCTCTTAAGGCACGCCGTAAAAATTATTCTCTCTTCTTGTGGAAAGAAACATTAAATAAACTGGGTCTATTTGGTAGGTTGAGGCTTCTTGGGAAACATTGTCACATAAGGAGAAATGTTTCATCTTCTTAATATGTCTGTGGATATTAATATGAGTATTCTAAAAATTATGTGAAAATTCTAAAAGTCTGATATGTTTTGGTATAATTTTACTTGTCAAGTGTGGTATTATTCTAAAATAACGTGTGCAAGGAAGTTGAGAAAACTTCCTTGTTAACTGAGTTATAATTACATATTTAATTATAGTCTTTTATCATTTATAGAGTTATTTACTCTGATGCTTTGTATTCAGGGAGATTTAAAGGACAGGATTTTGACAAATTACTCTAAAATACAGATTTATCATAAAGCTGAATGAGAATATGAAATTGCCATATTTATAGAACAAAATCTGGACTTTTGATAATTGCTAGCAGGTCAAGATCCAGATGGGGCTGAATGGACTTTGAGGATATTGTTGTTGTTTGAAACATTACTGTTTTTTTTTTCACAGGTTTAAGAAAACTTTTGTTTTAAGCTATGACCAGGAGCCACATGGTAACTCACATCTCATTTGGTGAACATAACTGAAATTTTTGCTTTTCTTTCCCTAATACCCTAGAAGTGAAAACTTCTAGAAAGTATTCTTAAAACTACTAGAATTACATTTAGAATTAATAATGTGGCAGTATAGAAGGTCAGCATACAAAAATCAATTGTATTTCTGTACACTAGAAATAAATAAAATAAAATTAAGAAAACAGCTGGGCATTCTTCAAACTGCTAAACATAGAGCTACCATGTAATTCAACAGTTCCACTCCTAAGGATATGCCTAA